GCCACGTCCAATCCCGTGCAGCTTAACCGCATATAACCGAGTTAATTTTTGGCAATCGCTAACAAAGGCTGGTGATCAGTCTCTACTGATTTGCTCCAATAAGCAACTCGCCAAATTTCTCGCAGCTATATGTTATTCCCGGTGCCTTCATTTCGGTCTCGGTGAGTGCGCTCGATGCATACGCTACCAGCCCTTGCCTCGAAGCTGCACAAGCGCGGCTCCCGACGTATTCCTGGAAGCATCGGTGCTAATGTTGATCTCTTTCTGAGGATCCAACACTGCCAGGACGGGTGACGGCATGAGCAACGTGCGGATCGTTTCTAATTCTGTGTGGTGAATGCTACTCCATTCAAAACACACACTTTCACATGCCCCGCTACGGTGGTCTAGTGGCTAAGGTACTCAGCTGCTGACCCACGGGTCACGAGCTCGAATCCCGGCTGCGGCGGCTGCATTTCAGATGCAGGCGGCAATGTCGTAGGCCCATGTGCTCAGATTTGGGTGCACGTTAAAAATAACTTCAGGTGGTCGAAATTTCCGGAGCCCTCCACTACAGCGTCTCTCATAATCATATAGTGGTTTTGGGACGTTAAACCCCACGAATAAATCAATCAACGCACTTTCACGCATTAAAATACGCAGCGCCATCATTTTTTCAAACTCGCGATGTGATTTTCGAAACAATTCACTGCGCCTAACATTCTTCTTACTTCCTGTTTTGATGTGGAGGTTAGCATATTGGCGACACATTTTTCGCGTTCTTTCGTTCGGTTTCGTTCCTTCACTTGAAATTATGCCTACAAGAAAATTCGATCTCTTGCGAATAAAATATGCATTTATCTGCGTTAGGCATGGAACCGGCTGAAGTTCTCGCTTCCATTACGGCCCTTAAACGCTTCTCGCGCTGTGTTTTTGGCAGTACCTATACCACCAGCACATTAGCAATGTAAACTCGCACAACTCGTACACCAGGAATTTTGTCAAATGCGTCTTTGATTTCTCTTTGTAATATTGCCAAAACAGAAACTGGATCAGACTGTAGCATCATAAATCTCTATCACCCGTACGGAGTACTGAACTTGCAAATCTTTTATGATGCGTCGTAAAACGGTAATTCATAAAGCCTTCAATTTGCGTCCAGCTTGCTGAACCATCTTGTTCCCGCTAGCTCTGCCTCGATGTGTTCTCTTCAAGGAAACTCGTACCAGTTGCGTTTAATGTTTTCGTATATATGCTGTATACCCACGCAGATTCCACTTTTTCCCGCCCTTTTTTTGAACAATAACCACTTGACTCACGCATTTTGCCGGAGTTAGGCCTACATGCGCTTCAGTTCCTAGGGAGCTGCCTCGCGTAAGGCACTTACCTCGCTGGCACCGCTATGGGCTTGGCTCTGTCTTTCATAATGATCCTGTAAGAGCGTTTGACACAACCGAGCTCTTTAAAAGACTGCGGAATTTTTTTTCATTATCTGCTCTCCCAGAGTTGGATGGCTTGAAATGGCGTGGTCGAAGCACTCGCAAGTGACCAGTCCCAACAACGCTTGCTTGCCTTTTGGACTACAAAGAACGCAACTCGCTTCTCTTTGTTTCGCAGCCACATATTGGCGACGATGCTGTGGCGAAATGCTCAATCGCATTTCCTCCGTAAAAGTGTCAGCGTTGTCTTGCGTGGGCGTACTTTCGCAGTTCTCTTTAGCCTTACATAAAGATAGAGAGCCAGCAAAATTGCCTGTGCACCAGTGTCGAGCTTCATGTGACAGTTTTCATGCTCAATTTTGCATAAACTTGTCCAGTCTCAACCCACCGTACTTTACATGCCCTTAATTGCTCGGCCAGAATCAGCAAGTCATGCTCATGGGTCCTTGCTCTCGTCGCGTGCTTCCCGCTCCAATTCAATAACCTTTGCGCTCTGCAGCAAGCAGTGGAATGGTTCTGCTTACGGCTGTTTGCGCACGTCTTTTCCCACTGCTGGATACTTCCTAGGTTGGGGGGACCTGTTTCAGTAGGTGTATTGACGGGTTCACTGCTTCCGAGCTTCGCTCCCATCGCGTTTCTCCACGACACAGGCCTTCGCTGTGCGTTCTTCCTCGTCACAAAGTTGGTCTTGGCTAGCTGCAAGCTCAGCAGCTTTGCAAAATTATGTAGCCTCGGAAATTCTCAAGTCTTTTCTTTTAGAAGGCGGGATTGGAGCTTTTTTATCGTTTGTTCCAAAAACGAGTTGGTCATGAACCTTTAAACCCCCAAGTGTCCAGATATGCTCGTCTGCGCTGCTACTTGTAAGTATCTGAGGAATAGCTCGAATGTTTCACCTTGCTATTGCAGGCAGCAACGAAAAACTTACGTTTCGGGCGTTTCATTGCACTGTAACGTGCAGTACTCCTAAAATTTTCTGACTTTGACGTAGTAGTCCTCCTGGTCTGCTTGAGTCCGCTAAGGCGTGCTGTACATTTTATGGCCTCTTGCCCAGCAAAGTGAAGGAATGCGGCAGTGTTTTCGAAGCTCGACATGACTTCCTTGTCCATCGCCTTTCAGTGCAGCTTGAGGCGCTGCTTGAACCTTTTCCATTTCCGGCGGCGTTATCCGAGAGGACGAGTCGGTCGGGGGTGGAAGCGTTTTAGATGCGGAGCATCTAATACTCGAGGCTTGTAGTGCGGCGCCGTCCGCAAGCTTCCTCCTCCTTCTTTCACCATCTGTGCATCCCTTCCTCCTCTACACACTGCGCGCGCTTCACTCCTCCACCATCTGTGCGCCCTTCCTCCTCTACACACCGCGTGCGCTTCTCCTCTTCACGAACATTCGCTAGCTGTATAATGTAGTGCGCATGCGCCGTCACGCTTCGAGAACATCGGCAGCTGACGCGCGCGCATGCGCCGTCGCGTTTCGAGAACATCGGCAGCTGACGCGCGCGCATGCGCCGTTGCGCTTCTCCCCCTTCTCGAACATTCGACAGCTGACAGTGCATACGCCGTCGCGCTGTATATATACTCAAGGTCGGCGCTCGCTCGCTCAGTTGCCGCTCGTCGGTTGGTTTGTACGGCGCGTCGACGTCCAAGGTCGCGGTGAAATGAATTCCAACGAATCCACAAACACAATGATCGACGTCCCTTCGACCAGCGCCGCCCTTTCGCATACGTGTGTACGTGTTCACTCATTGAACACCTCCTCCTACAACCACGTTAACCAATTTAGCCATCGACCCAAGTAAGTCGCACTTTAACACCCCATTTCACAACCACGTTAACCAATTTAGCCATCGACCCAAGCAAGTCGCACTTTAACACCCCGTTAACCAATTATATGCTCCGCATCCTCCTCAGTGTTCCCCCGAGGGAAGCTGCGGGCAATTTTTTTTTATCTCGGCAGCTCGAAAAACGCTCGATAACGAAAACACTACGCAAGTGCGTGCGCAGCCGCTGTCTACGGTAAGCCACTTCTGACACCATGTTTTGGTTGATGACAGAGAGCGAAACGGCGACACGGCAAGACCGGTGTTTATTGTCGCATGCTCCCTTTTCATCCTCAACATTCGGGCTGCATTTGCCAGACCACACGCTGATACAGCCGTGTCGTCATAGGCTAAACGAAAGATTTCTCGCTATCATTCGACGGCTTCGTCAACGCGCAATAAAAAAAAAACGCTGAACTAAGCAGATGAGTGCATACCAAGCCTATGCAGTATCTGCGAAAACAACATGCGATGAAGCCGCACGGCTTCTTTCTCCTTTTTGCAGTCATCATCATTATCATCATCATCAACATCATCAATATCATCATCATCATCCTGACTACGTGCACAGCAGGACAAAGGTCTCTCCCATGTTCTGCCAGTCAACTTGGTCCTGTGCTTGCGGCTGCCAATTTATATCCGCAAACTTCTTAATCTCATCTGCCCACCTAACCTTCTGTCTCTCCCTAACCCGCTTACCTTCTCTAGGAATTCAGTTAGTTACCCTTAATGACCTTTTTGCAGCTATACCATTATATAAAACAAACGCAGTTTCGAGGCTTCGATCACTCACACGTGGACTGGCCCAAGTACACCGTAACGAGATAGAATTTGCCGACAGTCGCCTTGTCAACTTGGCCCCACCCGAAGCTCCATTCAATGCGTGAGTGTTGTAGAGCACGAATTTTCTTTTTTTATTGCTCTTCTGCATAATATTTTATACCCCTTACCCCTTTCCTTACACAGGGCGAGAAATGGCTAACCTGCCTCTTTTTTTATCTTTCCCTTCCTCCTTTTCGTCGAGTCATATCGTTTTCAGTGTGGCAGGTATCTGTAAAACACAAATCCCTCCATGAATGTCTGCGCTCTGCGGCAAAACGATTGAGAGGGACAGGGGGTCATTATCCGCCCCGCGAGTACTTTGAAGACGCCGCTGCAGCGTAGTCCCCGCAGTCACCCCTGAGGAAGGAGCCAAGTCGGTTTCGAAACTTCAGGTTTCTTCAAAACTTTCACTTGGAGTCTAAATTATCTCCCAACCCCTCAATGTTCGAGGAGGTTGACAGTTATCGTGAATGCTACGGCCACATCAACATATACACATCTATAGTTATGCGCGGGATTTAGGTGCCTTATATGTTAATACCATTTGATGACGAATGAACCATTTGTGAATTACAGTTCCGTTTTTCTGCTACTTTCCCTTTCTCATCGTAATCGGTAGTAACTGCCCCTGCTGATCGCGCATTAGGCTTTTTTTTTTATGTGGCATTTCTGCTTATAGCTGCCTTTAAGCTGCTCCGTAACATAGTATTTCCCTTGGGTGCATTCAGTAATTACCAATGAACCCACAGACCAATTGAATGAATTGGCAGTTTCACTGTCTTAGCTATGAGTTGAGTGGCTGAACTTTGTTTTATCTTCAAGGATGTCGAGGCACATGTAGGATGTACCTAAGAAGTATGATTTCAACCTGTACTGCCGTTATTCATCTCGGATAATTATAAACAAATTTGATGACGACGCGTATTAAAAGGCAAGAATTATTATCAGCGTATGTTGTTCGAAAACGTGTTTATTTGTGCAGTCGAGCTCCCTCGCTTCTGATGTGGCATCGCCACGCCGGTGATCCGAGAGAACTGATTTACTGACCTGAAAAAAAAAAGCAAAAAGAAGATTATATGGCATCTTGTTAGGTTCGCAAGACAAAAAGCACAATCTATCTTACTGGAGCTCTTCCACGCACCATACTTATGTACACACAATAGGTGGGAGTGGGTGGGTGAAACGGAATGCGCTGTACAGGTTGTAAGGAAATAAGTAGTGCCTTCAGATAGGCGGCCCCTTCTTGACTGGTGGATTGATTTTTTGTCGGCCGCCTTGTCCTCCTAGGTGTGTTGTCTTTAAAGAAACCTTGTCGTTGACGTCACGTCATGTGTTGTCAAAGTCCTGTACTTGCCTTCTTAAAAAGACGCAACGGAAGAGGAACCGAACCTTGCGATTATTCGCTTGTGGTCATTGCAGTAGGAAACAAAGGCACAAACATAAGTCATTCTAAAATACGGCTCAGCCTTGTAGAAAAAAAAAACGAATGTTTCAAAAAAAAAAGGAAAACATCATAAATATTGAGAAATCAGTAATACAAACTGAGATCTTTCCACTTCCAGGAGGTCAATGATCATAAAGCATCTTGCTCAGAATCGATTGAAAGAACCCGTGTATTCTTCGTAAAAATGCTCCACCATCATATAAAGACTTCACCCATTCTTATAAGAGCGATTGTATATCATCATCATCAGCCTGACTACGTCAACTGCAGGACAAAGGCCTCTCCCATGTTCCGCCAGTTAACCCGGTCCTGTGCTTGCTGCTGCCAATTTATACCCGCAAACTTCTTAATCTCATCTGCGCACCTAACCTTCTGTCTCCCCCTAACCCGCTTGCCTTTTCTGGGAATCCAGTAAGTTACCCTTAATGACCAGCGGTTACCCTGTCTACGCGCTACATGCCCGGCCCATGTCCATTTCCTTTTCTTGATTTCAGCTATGATATCCTTAACCCCCGTTTGTTGCCCTAATCCACTCTGCTCTCTTCTTATCTATAGACAAGTATATAGACTTACATATACACAAGATGTGAAGCGTCTACATTTTCATGCAACTATATACAAGGATCACGTCACTAATTACAAATCCCGAGTCGAGGTTCTCTCGGCGCTTCTTCGCGGGCTCTCACTTCGGGGTCCGCTGGTCGATGAGCCGCTTTTGCAGACCTAAGTAGCGGTGGGCGTCTAGTGGGTAACTTGCACAGCTGCGCCTTTGGCGTACACGTGAAAGGACATGCCTCTAGCGCAAGAAACTTGGCGGGCATGTTCAGAAAATAGGCGAGAGTACAATGGGAACAGTTCGATAGGGGGAACGTACAGGGGCCGTTTTGCGCTTCTTTTTCGTTCCCGGTAGTTCTATACTGTATTGATCTGCTGTCAGTTTTGCCTATCTTAATTAATTTACCTGCGTGCTTTGGAAGCATGAAGTCCCGGTTTTGCATGTTTTTCCTAATGCCCTTGTCCGCATGCAACTTTTCGCGAAGCTGCGGTATTACAATGGTTGCTACATTTAAGTTTTTTTTCTTTTTCTACTGTAAGTACACAAAGCTTCACTACGTCACAGGACGTGAATGGCTAATCAACTTTAAAACGAATATTCTGAGGACCATGAAGAATTTTATAAAAACTTGTCTGTATTACAGAAGAAAACTTCTGCCATATTGTTTGGGACACCTATTCACGTTGGCACACCGGTATTATGCGTATACAATGCTGTGTACAATAAATAAAACAATATATATATATATACTATATATATAATGATCATATTGTTTATATATATGCTGTATACAATGAATAAAACAAGACAACTGAGAAATAGAGAATGCCACTTTGGAAAAAAAAACGAGCAAATTCCAGCCACTGCAAGAATAGGTGTATGCTATAGAAAGGAAGAATAACATTTATCCGCTTCATACCGGTGCCTTTGTCCTGAGTTGTTCGTTTATGTTTTCCCATGAATGTCCGTGTTGTAAAGAGGTAAGAAGCAGCGCTGATGTTATCTAATGCATGTTATAAGTATTTCGTCTATTTTGATCAATCTATAAACAACTGTGCACAAGAACAAGTAGCTGCGCTAAGGGCCACAACTGAATTCCTCTGTTCAGTTAAAACACAAAAAGTTTAGCTCTTGCCTATGTGGCAAGAAGGCAGGCGCGAAGTGGCACCATAGTAAAATGTACCGTAATGTCTTCCAAAAAAGCTTCGCTCTAATATATCCAGTTGCCACCCTAGTATTCTCGCATGTCATCAGTGAATTTACTTGGTCGCGACTGCAAAATGCTGTGAAATTATAAGACTGCTTCAGTTAAAGATGCGTTATTAGGAACCCTTCACGCGATGTTGCATCCGAGGGTGAGTCAGCAAATGAAGTTTATTTCCTTTTTTTTAAAAAGGAAGAGGCCACAGGAGAGAGAGGAGTGTCTCTGATCCAGTCCCACCAGTGTCCTTCACCACTTCAAGCAAGTGGCCTAACGCCAGTCTACAATCCGTGGTAGGATTCGGTTACTTCCTAAATGTTCGATGTTATATGTAATTATTGTCCTTGCAATGATGAAATTCATTCTACAAAATCTCTGGACTTTCTGCTCGCTTTGCACGCCTGTAACAACCGGCCTGTTCCTTTATGGTTTGCACAACTTAGTTTAGCTCTGAGAACAACTAGCACTTATATCACATGCGCTGAGTGTTTTCATGAGCAGCAATACTGGGATGTGAAAATGTATGCAAAGCTGTAGCAAAATAGGTCGCTGAGAAAAACGTGTTACGCGGCTGCTAGAAGAACTTTTTGCTTTACAATAACATTATATTTCTTTACCAGATTGAACTAACACTGCAATGTGATTATGGCACGTTAGGTTAAAAGAAGGCTTTTGCCTGAATCCGCCGCGCATTGCCCTAACTTACAAAATCATTAATTACTTTTGAGGTCTTACGTGTCAGAAAGTGGGAAAAGGCAACCATTGGCAACGTGGTGCAGGTTTCAAATTATAGTAGAAGATTTACATTAGAATATTTTCCTTCTACTTGATGTAAATGAAGTGATCCAGAAGATAAGAACCGCTGATTATTGTAGAAGTGACTTTCATCTAAACGTGTTGGTAGGTCTTTGGCCTTACGGATAGACAGCGGGAATTCAAAACGGCTAATAATGCCATTAGAAGGGAATTAACATTCATCCACGAACACAGTTCACACGCTGGGTGCGAAGACCAGCTTGCAGAGCGCTGACTTGATAAACACTGGAAACAGAAGTCAGCAACAAGCATGGGTTTCTGCTCTCTTCATTGGAATAACGGGAAAAGTAAAATTATGCACGTCTAAATATTAGAATCGAGGTCACGACAGTCACACAAGCCTGTTTGTAGCCTTGCTATGTTCTGCTGATTCGCACAAATAAGCGCATTCGTCTCATCGCCTTTGGCAGAACAGAGAGCGCAGACTTTTGTAGAACTGGCCTCCTGTGCCAGACAGGTAAATGATAATCAACCCACTCACCATTTTTTTTGTTTTGGCTGCCATCACCTGCTATATCACCTGTCATGCCCTTCCAGAGAAATTTTCAACGCCTTCAGCTTTCCACCTGCATTCTCTTGGCTAATCTCACAGTATTCAAAACTCAGGAGTCATGCAAAACAGCTATCTTAGAGAGCACCGCTGTGGGGGACGAGGACGAAAAGAAAGCTTTTGTTAAAAGGATGGCTCCATTATTCACTCATTTATTTATTGCTGCTGCCGAAACCATCTGCTTCATTTTCTATATCCGTTATTTCTAATTGTTCATTTTTCATATTTAATTTTTGCCCTTTTGCTGATTAGTTTAAAAAACGTGAGCTAACAAATTAACACTATTTCTTCATAACTATCCGGTTATTGGCATATCCCCTGGCATTGGTGTGTGCCACAGTTTCCAGGCCTTTCCTTCTTTCTTTTCTGTATTATTGCCGTCGTAGTACAACTTTTTGTGAGAGGACAATGAAAATTTTGCTATTGTACAGTTTTTCAAAAAGGAACAACTTTTATGCCTCACAAAACGCGAACATGGACAGTGAGTCGATTAGACGTTGTAGCTCCATCGAGACACCGGGACATGGTCGGGACGTTGTCGTGGCACCTAAACACCGCAACATCATCGGGACGTTGCCACGTTAACGGGACATTGTCAAGACCTTGCACAGCACCGAGACACCACGACCTGACATCCTGATTTGTTGTAAGTCGTGTTGATTTTGGAGGCAATGGGAAAGCAAGAGTGGAGAAGAAATATTACAATACCTCTGATCCTGGAGGCGGTGCTTCCGAAAGTAGAAAAAACGGAGATTTACTATACCAACTTAGTAAAAAGAACAGAAAAGACGGCTTTCGCTTTCAACCCCTTTTCCGAAAATTCGTAACGGACCCATTCAGCATTCGTGATCACCGTCTGACCAAAATCTTAACCTCCGGCTCTGCAGTTGTTTCTATTAATTACTATATAACTTACACCACGTTCTTTTGATATCGTACACGCCCGTCCACAGAATCAGGCGTCTGAAAGCGTTGATGTTAGTGCTGTCAACGAGGTCGCAGACAAGGGCGATGATCTTGTCTTCCGGAGCACTGGGAAGTGCATTTCCCACGAGGCACTGCGGAGATGATTAGTCGGAAGGTTATCTCTGTGACAGCACGAGAATTCTCTGTGACAGCACGGATATATCTCTGTGACAGCACGAGAATTCGAATCGTCCCGAACAAATGACAGCGATTGTAGTCGATACAATTTTTTTTGGTCTGAATCACAACAGTTGTTACACGATGCACATATTTTAAAATTAACTAGACCAATGTTAGGCACAGGCGGTACGCAAGTGCTTCCTGAGAAATAGCGAAAAAAAAACATTGCAACAGAGGCAAAATAAAAACACTCAGCGAAAAATACAGTTATGACTTCTTCTGCTACGGAACTGATTATGATAGTCGAACTATCGAAAATGATCGAATGTACCTTATTTCTGAGCTTAGACCATTCACTTGGCATCTTCTTTAAAACTGCACTCGTTTTCGAAAAAAAAATACTTTGTAACCAGTTAATGATTGCGTTTCGCGGTCCTTTGACTTTCATGCACAATGTAAGAAATTCAACATACATCATTGCTATATCCCACTTCTTAGCAGTCTGGACCTTTGTATTTATCATTCTGGCTAAACGAAAAACCGCAAACACAATCCTAATGCAATGGTGCAGCATATGTTTAGAAAATAGTCCGACTCTAAATACAGCAGGTTCCATAGAATGATTGTTTCAGCAGCCTAAACAGCCCCATCGTGGTGGTCTAGTGGCTAAGGTGCTCAGCTACTGACCCACACGTCGCGGGATTAAATTTCAGCTGCGGCGACATTATTTTAATGAGTTTACTCATTAAAATAATGGCCTCAACAAGCTGTGCTGAGAACTCATTGACTGAACAACCCGTGAGAGTGAAGAATGTAAATAATTTCTGAAGAGAGGCTTTCACGCACCTGAACAAGTGACACAAGCGGGGCTGCAAGGTTTGTCTGAAAGAGAATTACAACAAAACATTAATGCTGTGACAAACAATTCTATATTGAAAAATTAACGACTTCGCAAATAGAAAGTGAGATATGCTCACAATTAGTAAAGAAAGCAAGTAGGTAGCAACAATATAACCTATTTAGGAAATAAAAGCTCCGCGGTTCCTTGTTTACCAGTATAAAACTTATTGCAAGGCGCAAGCGAATCGCTACGCCATTGGTCATCATATTTGTGCGAAGTGAAGAAGTATTCGCAAGGTTTACGTTAGGCAACGTGTGCTTTACGTCGCTGCATATTGTGTGTATTTTGAGGGCGTTGCTGGGAACAAAGAAATATGCGTGAATTGTTTGTAATGAGTGTTGTCGTACACTCGGTGGCTAACTGTGCTACCGCGCCGATATGAAATACGCGGCGCTAAACTGAGGTCCAATAAAGCAAGACACAGCGAGAATTTATTGGACTGTGTATACTAAGAGCATCAGAATAGCTGACATTTTTCAGTGTATGCGTTACAAAGCCCCAAAATGACTAACATTGTACCTAATTCCTTAAAGTTTACTTTTCCCCCATAGTATTCTGCTCACGTACATTTGCCGCCTAAATTTTTTTCCACTGGCGGAGTGATACGAACACAAAGGAAATAACTGACCGATCTCTTGAAAAGTCTCGTGTATTGAGTACTTGAAACTACGCATCCAAATATTCACACATGGCTTCAAACGAACATGTCGGGGGATAAAATTGTAACATGCACCAGTTTTTGCAAACTGCTAGAACCTATTTACAATTCCTGTTGTCTTGCCACCAGGGAATGCGCAAGTATTTTTGGTTGAGGGAAATATAGCATGAAAAACGCCAATGATGTGGGGAACTCCACTGCGTGTATTTCTGAGAAGGGTGGAACACGAACGTCTGTATACAAAAACATAACTTACTGCTGACTTTTTGCAGCTGTTCCCCAGGTCAGTGTTGCACTGCATAGGTGAAAAAAAAAAAGAAACGATACAGACTGAAACAAAATTTTCCGTCGTCAGAAGAAAACTAGATAATAATAGTAAGAAATTTTCCCGAAAGGCGGGTTCTTTTCCCATCGGTGTGCACTAATACACTCAGAGTAAACAAACAGTACAATACAGTTGGTTGCACCAAGGAAATACTGCTTGCTACGTTCTGTTATAATGGTGCGGTGACACAACGTTGTTGGCGTTGTCGAAGTCGTACCGCGGAGGGAATTCCCCAGATTGCTTTCAGCAGTGATGTTGAAGGAAATCATCTCGACGATGAGGACTTTTCAGGGGACGTATACGGCTTTTAACGCACCGATAGATATAGTGACTATTAGCGATCAGCTGCCAACCCATAATTCGCGGATTTTGCGAATGGGAAGATAGTTGGTCTCAAGTTATATGGCGTGCTCACTGTTGCAATTGGTACTGCGTTTGGCTCACAGTTTGATCGTCTGTCACGTTTTCACGTGCAAGAATACTTGGGAAGGACAAGTAGCATAGCCAAGAAGTCCGAAATAACCACCAAAAAATATTTTGCACCCAAAACAAAGACAACCCTAACAAATCATTGAATTTGCAAAGAAAGGCCCAATAAATAATATATGATTTTGGTTATTACTCGAAAATTTCAGTCGGGCATAAGGCGTTTCACAGGCTCGTCGGAGAGGGCCCTTTCATCACTATAGACACATCTCGGATGCAATTAACAAAAACATCATTGGTGTAGAGCTATTGAGCGTAATTTTTATTAGCACGATCCTAATAGTCATATATTGGTAACGTATAATTAACATGATTTCTCTTAGACGGCTCATGGCTAATACCACGTTAATTAGCATAGCTTAGTTAGCACGTCAACTAGCATGGTTTAGTTAGCACGGTTCCAGCTTCACACGGCCTTATCAAGATGTTGTCATTACGTAGGCCTTACAACGGCTTGGCCTAATTGCCTTGGTCATTGCATGTCCTGGCATACATAGCCAAATACACCAGCCAGTTAAATAGCTAATTAGCCGGCCGCACCAGCTCGAGTGCTAGCGGACAATGAAGACGACGAAAAAGATGCGCACTGCCCGATCAGCGCACCTCCTACATTCAGGCAACCGGAAGGATACCGTTACTAGCGGTACCGCCAGATGAATCCAATGCTGTGTCCCCCTTCTTCTTTTTTGCTATTTTTAAAATCTGGTTTATCAAATCCTTTTGCTCTTTTCCTTCTTTAAGATACGTTATTATGCATCTTGTTCTTATTTGATTTCTTCCGTTTTTAACAAGTATTGTATAAAAATTTACGTTGTAAGGTACAGTGTGGCCAAAAACCCTTGTGGGTATGAGCCAAGATCTCCTAGGCGACAACACAAAACAAAACAAATGTACAGACAAATCATGATGAATAACACGTGTCCACAGGTTTAGCTGCAGTCACGATGTTGTCAAACACTCAGCTGGAATGAATATCAGAGGCTATCGTGCTGGTTATTCCAGAGCAGACTGAGTGCAGGAATTAAAATATTGGAAATGACCCTAAATAGCTCGTGCCGTTACAGAAAAATATCACCAGGAAGCGTTTCTGACCTTTTATTGCATGGGTTCACGTTTAAACTCAGTGGAACGACAAACATATGAAAGAAGATGCCTGTGGTTTGAAAACACCACAAACTTTGTCGACTGTCTTTGACGCGATGTCGAGTTCCATCGTAACCAATGAAGCACTGTAAGCTGAAGGGTAGATTTTTTTCCCACTGTCAACTCATTGAAATAGAGAAGTTTCCAGAGCTCGGAAATATACGGAGGTTTTCCATGCCCAAGCGATCCTATATATATACATTGCACTCCAGAAGACATTCGTGTACAATCAAGGAATACCAGCCGGTATTGTTGTGCTTCCCACAAGGGCCTCTATCAGGCGACACGTAGCGGCTATAGTGTGGATTCAAATTTGTCATTTGAGCGCATAAATATAGACGAGACATAAAGCATGAAGAGAAATCAGTGCACTGAATTTTTTTTTCAGAAATTTATTCATTAGAACGTGACCAATCATGTAGACTTTGAAGTACTGCAATGTACGCCTATAACAGGCATAACCTTCTTTCTGTATTATAGTAGTTTGCTCTATGTGGTTTGCCGTTTACTTCTACTTAGGCGGGTTCAGAAAAAAAAAACATGCTCGTATATTCATTATTTTATATGTTAGCGCTAAACTAAAAATATTACAACTACACATATGTCTATGAATGTACATTGCAGGAAACCAGTATAGCTGGGAACACTGTGGAGTGATAACAACTACACGTTATAATTACTCCGGTGGCTTCCTAAATGAAGACAATATGTTTGAAGCAAGAAAAAAACTGTTGGCAGAAGCTCATCACTGCTGGAAAAAGAGACGTTATATAGACCACAATGTCCGCGACAGCTTCGACAGCCAGAAGACAGATGTTATTTATGTTATTTATTATGCCATTGTGCTCTATTACTTCTCGGCGTCGTGCTGATATTTCAAAATTTTTATTATAATAGTATTTGCGTTCAATTATGCTACGTCATGCACGTCACCCTTGTCAATGCCATATTGTAAACAATAAGCTTTGACATAAGTTTTTTGTACACTTACTTTGAGGAATGTTTTTTTTTTGCGAGCGTCATCTTCATGCTTATAGCGCGTGTGCATTTTCAGTTTTTTAAAACATTGGAATTTCATACCATACAACTCATACAGGTGAAATTCGAATGATTACACAACGCTCGTGAAGTTTTTCAATGTATTCCGATTCCCCTTACCTGACCGATGAGGGCACTTGGCAACGAGACGTCCACATTTCCGCGAGAACAGTAGTTCAGCCTCACAGTTCCGGCTTTTACCTTGTTAACACTGTTGATGAGATCTATTGACACTGTCGAAAAAAAATGCACCATGATGACACCACGGTAATGCGACATATATAAATTCAAATGAATGTTGACAACGATGTTTAAAAGTTCTTATTGCGCACCGGAAAATCAACAAAATGCGCAATGGCATGAGTTTCTAGAAAACAGAGATATTGTCACGCATCATAAGCATTTGATTGATATGTGGGGTTTAACGTCCCAAAACCGCCATATGATTACGAGAGACGCCGTAGAGGAGGGCTCCGGAAATTTCGACCACCTGGGGTTCTTTAACGTGCACCCAAATCGGAGCACACGGGCCTACAACATTTCCGCCTCCATCGGAAATGCAACGCATCATAAGCATTCACGACGGCGAAAGTATTCCATGCCACGTCAGACGCGCGAACTGATTGGGTTCCGGAGTCAGTCTCTCGAGTGGAAAACGTTAACACGAGTGAGGCAAAAAAAAGAAAGAAAACGTCACTTGTCGTGCCACTAGCAAACCTTCTCAGATCAGCTAAAATTGTGACAACAGCGTGATGTGACGTCACACAATGGCGTAGTCAAACGACGCCGTTTACTCATAATGAAAGCCCATCTCGAAGACAGTTCAGTAGCAGTTGACGTGCAGAAAGCTCACAGTGCCTAAGATTCAGGGAGGCTGGGTAAGACTGCGTCAAAATCCGTAAAGCTTTGGGAGCAGGGCAGGCGAGCGTCTTTACATCGTCTCCGAAGAAAAAAGATGTGGTTTTTGCCTTACGATAATCAAATTGACATATCAGGAATCCTTTGTATTTCCATTGTGACGATAGCACACAGAAAATTGATCACATACCAAGGAGGGATCGTTAGCGCAGCTGCACTAATCCAATAATAAACATCAGAATAAAGTAGTAATTAGCCCTCCAAAAAGGTGGAGAAGATCTGGTGTACCTAATCTTCTGTTGGCTTTCACAATGAAAGTAAAAGCTTTAGACATTTTTGCTCTGAAACATGCAGACGTAGCCTCATATTGAAATTTAATTGGCAACTGAAAGCAGAGAAGACAGTCAGTGAGTCCCCGCGAGTCAATATATGTTTCGTGTACTTATGACCAAGTGTAACGTGCACGTAATACGAATATTGTTTTTAAACAAAATTTTTGTCACTTCGTTACTATTCGCAATAAAATCCGTGTTGACTAGTGCATACAAACCATTGGAAACAAAATGCACAAAACAAAAACCATTAGCTCGAGCTGCACGCTAGTTTATTTATTTAGGGAATAAAGAACAGATGTATTAATTGATAGCGAAATGACCTAGCATATTGATACGTGAATGAAACTGCCGCTTCGGCCCAGCTCAAATGGGCCCCGAAAGGAGGAAGACGACAACGTGGTTGTTGTGGGTTCGTCTCTCGAGCTTCCACCATTGGCCTCCATGACTGTGCGCTCTTTAAGCCATAGCAAGACCTACTGTCCATGAATAAATCTTCCCCGTAACATCTTTTGGTGGAAGGTGCGGGGTCTTCACACAACCCGGCTCTGGAATTCCGCAGTGAACGTCAGCTTTGTCCAGCCACGATACCTGAAACCGGCACTCAGGCCTCGCCATCCGCGGCGGCAGATTAAACTACTCGGCCACCTTATTGACGCTACTGGTGTTCAACCCGACCCTGAAAAGTCCGTGCAGTCCAAGAATTCCCGGTTTCGCAATCCACACAAGAATTTCGCAGTTTTATTGGGCTCTGCTCAAACTTCCGCCGCTTTGTCTTTAACTTCGCGGATATTGCTAGGCCCCTCACGGATCTCCTCAAAAAGAACGTGGCCTTTTCTTGGTGGAAGGACCAAGAACATTCCTTCGCGTCGTTGATTACCGCCCTCACATCACCACCTGTGTTGGCTCATTTTGATCCAGCGGCTCGAACAGAGCTTCGCACCGATGCAAGCGGCTATGGCATTGTTGCTATACTGGCTCAGATACAGAGTGGCACCAACCGTGTGATAGCCTACGCTAGTCGCCTTCTGTCGCAAGCGGCAAAAATTATTCCGTCACTGAGCGGGAATGCTTAGCCCTCGTTTGGACTATTGCGAAATTCTGTCCGTACTTATACGGACGTCCGTTCGCCATCATGCGCTTTGCTGGCTGTCGCATCATGCGGACGACCATCATGCGCTTTGCTGGCTGTCGACGCTTAAGGACCCCTTCAGGAAGACTTAGCCTATGGGCACTTCGATTACAGGCGCACACGTTCTCGGTTGTGTACAAATCAGGAAAGCTGCACAGCGATGCTGACTGCTTATCCCGGAATCCTGTTGATCCACCTAACTCCACTGGTTTGGAATCTGATGCCCGCGTTTTAGCCATCACTGACTTTCTGAACGTGGCGGACAAACAGCGCCGAGATCCATCGCTGCTCACCATCATTGACCGACTTCAATCGCGTCATACTAACCCTTCCTTTAGCAGATTTCTGCTTCAAGACAACGTTTTGTGCCGCCACAACTTACAACCCGATGGCACGGAACTCTTACTCGTCGTACCACATCACCTGCGAAAGGATGTTCTGCGACAATTCCAAGACGCTCTAACTTCTGGACATCAAGGAGTCTCCAGAACTTACGACCGCGTTCGATGAAGAGTATTCTGGAAGGGTCTCCAACGCTCCGTTCGCCGTTACATCGCATCTTGCAACCTCAGCCACTGCCGAAAGAAGCCTACGACTCCCCCTGCCGGTCTTCTACAACCTATTGAAGTTCTAGCCGAGCCGTTTTATGGAGTGCGGTTGGACTTGCTAGGTCGTTTTCCTACTTCTACAATTTGGAATAAATGAATTGCAGTGGACACAGATTATGCCACTCGGTATGCAATCACTCGAGCGCTACCAACCAGCTGCGCAACAGACGTTGCCGACTTCCTGCTCTACGACATTATTCTGCAGCATGGCGCTCCGTCTCACCTGCTAACAGACCGTGGTCGCTACTTTCTATCTCGTGTGGTTGATGATATACTCCGATCTTGTGCTACCCGTCCCAACTTCACCACATCTTACCACCCTCAGACTAACGGCCTTACAGAGCGCCTAAACCACACATTGACAGACATGCTTTTCATGTACGTATCTACCGACCACACTGATTGGGACATAGCTTTGCCATTTGTCACCTTCACCTATAACTTATCGCGTCATCAAATAGCAGGCTACTCCCCATTTTATATACTCTTCGGACGTCATCCCTTACTGCCCTTCGACACACTGCTTTCATCAGACTACAATCCTCCACTTCGTACGCTCAGGATGCGATCACCCGTGCTCTCCCGGCACGCGCGGTAGCCCGCGCTCGCTTATCGTCGTCGCAGACAGCGCAAAAGTCCCTTTACGATCGTCGACATAGGGATGCCGTTTTTTCTGCGGGATCTCTTATTCTTCTGCGGCTCCCATCTCGACGTGTCGGCCTCTGCGAGAAACTACTATTGCGATACGCTGGGCCCTACCGAGTCATTCGTCAGGTTACACCTGTGACCTACGAGCTTACCGCTACCAAAAACTCATCGGCTGATGCACCCCGGAACGGAAATAGCCCACGTTTCCCGTCCCAAGCCCTACAACGCGGACTCGCTCATTTAACAGGCACCGAGACGGTGCCTTACCGGCCGGAGTGATGATACGTGTATGAAACTGCGCTTAGACACAGCTGAAATTGTACCCGAAAGGAGGAAGACGACAACGTAGTTGTTGTGGGTTGGTCTCTCGAGCTTCCCCCGTTGGCCTCCATGACTGTGCGCTCTTAAGCCGTTAGCAAGACCTGCTGTCGGCGAATAAATCTTCCCCGTAACAATATTTAAAATAATTTGACACCATTTAAAACAGACAAGTACATCAGAGAACTACAGTAAATGCAAGTTCAGTTTGGAAAGTTTGATTCGTGAATAGTAGGCAGTGCTTTTTAAAAATGCTTCATTTTTTCCGCAATAAAGCGTGAGTTCACTGGTTTATTGTAAGTTTACAATAATTGCTTGCAACAATATTTATCGGTGTATGTAATGGTCGAAACATGATCTATAGAATAGGACAAAAGCACTGGCTCAGTACTATCTCACCCTTTGAGATCTTGCGCCTTTTATTGCTGTGTCAGCTCCTCACAACAGTAAATATTTTCGAGCTAGCACATCATTGCCAACAATGCTGCATGGTAATCAACCATGACAGACCTTATTGTCAAGTTTCTCTACAACTAAACAAAGGAGCGTCTTCGCCTATCACCTTGATAGCGATTCCATGCATCGGCTTCCGAATGACAGATATGTTGCTGAACCATGAAGCCGACATCTATGACATGCCTATCTGTATAACATACTCTCCACTATTTGCTATTGGCGCTTAGGTGGAATGCCACTTAGGTGGCATTCCTTATTTGTTCTACTTTCGTTGATGTTCGTAGCTTATTTGTTCATTTTTGACCTTGTATATTTTTTCACAACTCTTCTCTACCTGGTTCATCATCATCATCATCATCATCATCATCATCATCATCATCATCATCATCATCATCATCATCATCATCATCATCATTACCAGCCTGACTACGTCCACAGCAGGACAAAGGCCTCTCCCATGTTCCGCCACTTAACCCGGTCCTGTGCTTGCTGCTGCCAATTTATACCCACAAACTTCTTAATCTCATTTGCCCACCTAACCTTCTGTCTCCCCCTAGTCCGCTTGCCTTCTCTGGGAATCCAGTTAGTTACCCTTAATGACGGGTGGTTATCCTGTCTACGCGCTACATGTCCGGCCCATGTCCATTTCCTCCTCTTGATTTCAACTATAATATCCTTAACCCTCATTTGTTCCCTAATCAACTCTGCTCTCTTCTTGTCTGTTAAGGTTACACCTACCAATGTTTTTCCATTGCTCGCTGCGTCGTCCTCAACTTAAGCTGAACCCTCTTTGTAAGCCTCCAGGTTTCTGATTCGTAGCTAAGTACCGGCAAGATACAGCTGTTATATACCTTCCTCTTGAGGGATAGTGGCAATCTACCTGTCATAATTTGAGAGTGCTTGCCAAATGTGCTCCACCCCATTCTTATTCTTCTAGTTACTTCGATCTCATGGTTTGGCTCCGCGGTTATTACCTGCCCTAAGTAGACATAGTCTTTTACAACTTGGAGTGCACCATTATATATCTCGAAGCACTGCTTTTTCCCGAGGTTGTTGTACATTACTTTCGTTTTCTGCAGATTAATTTTAAGACCCACCTTTCTGCTCTCCTTGTCTAACTCCGTAATCATAAGCTGCGATTCGAGCCCTGAGTTACTCAGCAATGCAATGTCATCGGTGAAGCGCAGGTTACTAAGGTACTCTCCGTTAACTCTTATCCCTAACTGATCCCATTCTAGGCTTCTGAAAACCTCCTGTAAGCTCGCGGTAAATAGCTTTGTGGAGATTGTGTCCCCCTGCCTTACACACTTCTTGATTGGTATTCTGTTGCTTTCTTTGTGAAGCACTATGGTAGCAGTTGATCCTCTGTAGTTTTCTTCGTGGATGCTTATACATACTTCATCGACGCCCTGATTTCGTAGTCTTTGCATGACGGCTGATATTTCTACTGAATCAAACGCCTTCTCGTAATCTATGAAGGCTATGTATAGTGGTTGGTTATATTCTGAGCATTTCTCTATCACCGGATTGATAGTGTGAATGCGGTCGATTGTTGAGTAGCTTGTTCGAAATCCTGCTTGTTGCTTTGGTTGATTGAACTCTAGTGTTTTCTTTACTCTGTTGACAATTACCTTTGTAAATAGCTTGTATATTACAGAAAGCAAGCTGATTGGCTGTAATTCTTCAAGTCCTTGTCATCTCCTTTCTTATGTATTAAGATCATGTTAGCATTCTTCCAAGACTCTGGTACTCTTCCCGCCAGGAGACACCTCGTCAACAGGGTGGCTAGTTTTCCTAACACCACCATCTGTCCTCCATCGTTCAGCAATTCTGATGTTACTTGATCCTCGCCAGCAGCTTTGCCTCTTTGCATGCTCTCCAAAGCTTGTCCTTTGTTCCTGTCTGTTTTCCTGCGCTTTAACTGTTAGTTATACCATGCATCTCCAAAGCTTTTATGATTTCTTCGATCATTACTAGTGAAGTGTCATCTGGGTTACTGCTAGTTTTTTTACTAGCAGTAACCCAGGTCGTGGTTGTCCCGGCTGCTGTACAGATCTCTGTAAAACTCCTCCGCTATTTTAACTATCCTATCCATATTGGCAGTTATTTTGTCTTCTTTGCCCCTTAGTGCATATATCCGATTTTTGCCTATCCCAAGTTTCCTCTGCACTGCTTTGACGCTTTTTTCGTTTTTCAGAGCGTGTTCAATTCTCTCCATGTTATATACCTTCTTACATCGCATACAGTACGCCTAATAATCAACTTCGAAAGCTCTGCCAGTTCTATTTGGTCTGTTGTACTTGAGACTTTTATGATTTGACGCTTCTTAATGAGATTCTTCGTTTCCTGGGAAAGCAGTCTTCGTAGACTGTCTACGTGCTGTCTAAGAATTGAAACACAGCTAATGAATTCCTGAACTTTTCTTCTCAGTGCTTGCTCATTGATTGCCTTATTGCGTATCAGTTTCTATCGTCCCTTCTTCAAGTTTAGGTGAATTCGAGACCGTACCATTCTAAGATCACTGCATCGTATCTTGCCAACCACTTCTACATTGTGCACGATGCCTGGGTGTGCACTCATTATAAAGTGTATTTCGTTCTTATTTTCGCCATTAGGGCTCCTCCACGTTCACTTGCGGTTTCCTCGTTTTTGGTAGGAGGTATTCAAAATCTGTAAATTATTGCGTGCTGCGAATTCTACTAGTAGCTCTCCTCTGGCGTTTCTAGTACCGATGCCATAATCTCCTACTGCCTGGTCTCCAGCCTGCTTCTTCCATACAATTGCATTAAAGTCTCCCATCAATATAGTTTACTGTGTTTTTACCTTGCTCATTCCCGATTACACTTCTTCATAGAAGCTTTCAACTGAAGTGTCATCATGGCTAAATGTAGGCGCATAAGCCTGTACTACCTTCATCTTGTATCTTTTATTCAATTTAATTACAATATCTACCACCCTTTCATTATTGCTATAGTATTCCTCTATGTTTTCAGCTATGTTTCTGTGAATTAAGAACCCCACTCCCAGTTCTCATTTGTCAGCCAAGCCTTGATAGCAAAGGACGTGCCTATTCTGTAGCACCGTATAGGCCTCCTCTGTCCTCCTAACCTCACTGAGCCCTATTATATCCGATTTAACACCCTCTATCTCTTTGAATAGTACAGCTAGACTTCCCTCACAAGAGAATGTAGCGTTAAACGTTGCTAAGTTCACGTTCCGATGACGGCCTGTCCAGATCCAGAGATTCTTAGCACCCTCTGCTGCGTTGCAGATCTGACCGCCGCCGTGGTCAATTGCTTCGCAGCTGCTGGGGACTGAGGGCCGTGAGTTATTTGACTTATGCATGTGGAAGGTAGTGGCCAGATACTGCACCAGGTGGCCAATCTTTCTCTGGTGAGGGAGTGCGTTCCCGGCGGTGGTTACCGGTGAGGCCGCAACCCCAGGCCTCTTAATGCAGTTCCATCACCACGCGGATTTTTTTATCTGCTTGGGAGCTGCGCGGCACCGAGATTTGAACCACGGACCTTTTGCATGTGAGGCGGATGCTCTAACCACTACGCTATCGCCACCATCTGGTTACACACCTTTAATTGCTGTTGATATTGGGCGTATCTTTGTATACTCGCCACTGTTACAGCACACTTTGCACTGCAATGGTCGAGTGAATAAATAAAAAAACAATTATCTATAAAACAAATAAATAAATAAACAGTGCTAAGATAACTTCAGTTGTCATGACTGGGATTGATACTTACAATTATTAGGAGTTCCCATTGGTCAAGGTACACATTTTTTGTTAGTACCTTCATTTACTATGAAAATCAAAGGACGAGGTTTCTTGAAGATCTGCTTGTTATGGTCATCACGGTCTTTCAAATCACTTTATTTGTACAGAATTGCACGATTCTACACATATCTGTAACACACTGTATAGCTATGGTTGAGCTTTCTTTGTGTACAATGTATACGTGGCTATTTTCATGCTAAGGTGGGTATGTCATCCGTACGCTGCATCAGCTCATCACTCATTTTCTTCTTCCTCTTGACCAACTTATATAGAAATATTTTCTGCCTCTTCAGCACAAACTTTGTTTTCAGCTTAATAATTGAAGATGCTGCAACTCCCCAGATGCCTAGATGTTGAGTTCGAAGGAGTGAAGCTTACTCGTGGCGTCAAAAAAACTGACGTCATCGCAATCACATCAAGGAACTACAAAACCAATATTTTTTCGGAGGCTTCCTTAAGAAGAAGCTGCCATCCACCTACGTAAAATGATCGCGCCAATATACAAGCAATTATACTCACGCGCTTGCGTTTTGTTGGTGTTGGTCGCGTTGATAAGCTCGGTGAAAACATCCACGTACGCTACCACTGCATCCTGGGGCTTGTTGAAGTCTTTCAAAGCCTCGTACACACACTGGAACGTTCCGTACAATAAATGAAATAAACGCATGCCAAAAACACAAGAATAGTTTTTTTGAATGAGCAGCGAAACAACATTTTGACATTTATGTGGCCAAAATCTCACATTTAAATGAGCCTGTTTTGCAGTCATGCGTGTTCATGGTTTGTCAGAAATTCGCAACCAAACAGTGTCAAAAAGTGCTACTACGGCTGTTCGCGATTTCATTAAAAAACTCTGGACTGAATAATAAGCTGTACGGTAATCACTGCACTAAATAGCTACAGTACATACGCATCACCTCTTCTTGTCCTCATCATTACCCTTCCTCCCTCTTTTATAACGCGCAAGTGTTCTATGCCGGGGTCGACCACGGCTACGCTGCCATACTTCCGTCATGGAAATGAAGTCGAAAAATATATACTAAGAGGTTGCAAACCAAAAGCCAGAAAGAAGGATTCGTAGAACGGAATCAAACCTGAGCGCGTGGCGCTAACCGCTACGCCACAAAGCCTATGTTGTCTGGAGTGCTTGCGGCAACTTCATACGTGGTGGAGCGTGCTGTTAGATCCCCCGCCATCCTCTCGACCACTCTACCCCCTGGAGCTACGTTCAGGTCGCCGCTTGGGCCAGGAGTCCGGAAATGTGTCGCACCAAGATGAGGTCGGTGTTGCAGCCGTTCCCACTCTACCCCGCGTGCCGCGCTTTCTCACGTCACCAACAGCCTCCATCATCAGCCCCATCCCTTCACTGGTATGCGCGAGGAAGATGTTGAGGAATGGCTGGACGATTTCGAACGTGTCGGTGCTGCTAACTGGTGGAATAACACCTACAAACTCGCCCACGTGTCATTCTACCTCCCGGGTGTCGCGAAGACGTGGTTCCTCAAACACTTCATCGACATATCCGACTGGTCGGCCTTCAAAGATCAGCTTCGCCATGTCTTTGGCACACCGGCTGTTAGTTCGGCTCTCGCTAAGAAAGCTCTGGCGACTCAGAAAGAGCACATCGGGGAGTCGTATACATCCTACATCGAGGATGTTCTTTCACTGTGCCGCCGGGTTGATACACCAATGACAGAGTCAGACAAGGTATGCTAGCTTCTTAAGGGGATTGCACCCATCGCATTCAATGCCCTTGCAATTCAGAATCCGGCTACCGTTGCTGACGTTGCGACAACCTGTCAGCGCCTCGAATTGGATTGGATAAACTTTAACTTTTATTTGGTCCTCCAAAACACAGATCACTGTGTTGCGGGCAGCTCCCACGTGGGGACTGAGATGCCAAGCTCCTCAGCCGCCTCGCGGGCTTGGTGGACAGCCCAGAGCTGATCTGCCAAGGACGAGCTGCGGATTGCCGCCTCCCATCTGGCAGAGGTGATGTGCGATACATGAGCGAATTTGGTGCACTGCCAGAGCATGTGTTCTAATGAAGCTATTTCCCCACAATGTGGACAAAGATTACTTGGGTATAGGTCAGGGTACATGATGTGTAACATTTTCAAAGTAGAGTACATCCGCGTTTGCAAAAGCCTTAATGTAAGTCCTTGGGGCTGGGTTAGATTTTTGTGAGGTGGAGGGAAAATCCTTCTAGACAGGTAGAAATGTTTGGTGAGCTCGTTATATGTTGTAAAAATTTCCCGGTTATCCCCTTCACCGGTAGAACGCATCCCCGGGGAGGCGCGGTTGGAGAGTTCTCGCGCCGCCTCGTGTGCTGCTTCGTTGAGATTGGGAGGGGAATTGTTGATTTGTCCAAGGTGAGCTGGAAACCAACTCAGAAGATGATGTGTTATGTTCTTGCCTTGCAGTATTTTCAGCGTTTGTTTACAGACCGTCCCCTTGGCGAACGCCCGTAGTGCTGCCATGGAATCACTGTAGACGACTTCAATGTTATCCATCTTGAGTGCTAAGGCGATGGCCACTTGTTCCGCAATGATTGGGTCTTTCATCCTGACCGTCGCTGAGTTGACGACATGGCCAGCCCCATCGACTACCACTGCCACAAACGCTTTCCATTGGCGTAGGAAGCCGCGTCAACAAATACGACCCCTCGTTCCTCGTTTGAGACTTGACGAAGTATAGTCCTGGCCCTCGCTACTCTTCTTCCGACGTTGTGTTCTGGATGCATGTTTCTCGGTATAGGAGATACCATGATAGTCTCCCTGATGTTGTCAGGGATATCATTGTAATTGCGTATGATTGCTATTGGGTGTTGGCTCAGCTCCTGCAGGATCATTCTCCCCGACCTTGTAGTAGATAACCTTGCAAACTTTGCTCTCTCTTGGGCTTCTGCTATTTTTTCGAGCGTGTTGTGTATGCCAAGCTCAAGCAGACGCTCGGTGCTGGTATGTATGGGTAGGCCCAATACCTTCTTGATAACTTTCCTGAGGAGCACATTCAGTGTCTCGGACTCTGCTCTTGACCAGTTGTGCATTGCTGCCTCGTATGTGAAGTGACTTAGAACAAACGCATGCATCAACCTGATGAGGTTGTCTTCCTTGATCCCATTTCTTTTGTTGGCCACTCTGCGTATGAGGTGCACCGCACTGTCTGTTTTCCGAGTTAACTTGGCTATAGATTTGCTGTTGGCGCCGGTAGACTCTATCAGCATTCCCAAGACTTTGATGGAGTCGACCCTCTGGATGGCATCCCCTTGATTTGTACGGAGATGGATGTCTATCTGGTTTAACGGCTTCCACCCCCTGGGCTTCGGTCCCCGGCGTGCAGCCCGATAAAGCAAAAGTTCTGACTTACTCGAGGAGCACTTGAGCCCGGAAGGGCGAAGGTAGTCTTCTATGGTGTCAATCGCCTCTTGCAGAGCGCTCTCAATCCGCCCCTCGCTTCCACCTGTGCACCAGATGGTAATGTCATCTGCGTAGACGCTGTGCTTCAATCCTTCAATGCTCGATAATTTCTTTGACAGTTCAATCATGGCAATGTTGAACAGCATTGGTGAAATCACTGCCCCTTGTGGCGTGCCCCTTGCTTCTAGTTCGATTGCTGCGGTCTCGATATCTGCAATCTTCATCACGGCTTTCCGATCTGTAAGAAAGGACCATACGTAGTCATAGAAGGCTTTCCCTAGACCAAGCTTGGAAATTACTTCAAGTATGAATGAGTGGTGGATGTTGTCAAACGCTTTTTCCAGATCTAGGCACAGAATGGCTCTCACGCCTCTGGTTTCATTGTCAATGACCTGGTGTTTGGTAAGCTTCAGTGCATCTTGTGTGGATAGCCCTGCCCTGAATCCAACCATATTGTGTGTATATATGTCGTTATCTTCCAAGTACTTGTTTATCTTGCGCAGTATGGCATGTTCTGCGACCTTGCAGATACATGATGCCAAGGATATTGGCCTCATGTTGTCCAAGTTAGGGGGCTTTCCTGGCTTAGGAATAAGGATCGTGCTGGCCAACTTCCACTGCTCTGGCACCCTGCCTTCTTTCCTTGCTGAATTGATCATATCCCTCAGGGTTTCAAATGAATCGTCATCAAGGTTACGCAGGGCCTTGTTTGATATACCGCCCGGGCCAGGGGTTGACCTACCGTTGAGATCATGCAAGGCTCTTCTGATCTCCTCGATGTTAAAGGCGCCCTCAAGACCTGGATTTGGCGTGCCCTGGTACTGTCTACTTGGTGGTGCCGATCCTCTTTTGATTGGGAGGTACTTATGCACGAGCTGCTGGACAACTTGCTGTTCTGTAGTGCGCCCTATCTCTTTATGCAAAATTTGAGCGATAACATGCTTTTGATTTGTTTTGGTGGTGTTTTCGCTGAGGAGATGCTTTAACATATTCCATGTCTTGCCATTGCGCATCTGACCATCGACGGAGTTGCAGATTTCGTCCCATTGCTGCCTCGATAGTGCGTGACAATGTTCCTCGACTGATCTGTTTACCTCAGCTATCTTTTTTCTCAGTCTTCGGTTCAGGCGCTGACCCTTCCAACGGTTCAGTAGTGCTTGCTTTGCCTCAAGAAGATGAGCGAGCCGGCTATCCATTCTTTCAACCAGAAAATCTGTGGTAATAGTGGAGGAGACGGATTTGATGTCATCTTTAATCTGTTTGACCCACTGCTCCAAGCCTTGTCTGTGGCCATCTTGTTCCTTTCCATCCTTATCTTCTTGAACTTATCCCAGTCTGTGAAGTGGAATTCTCTCTGCTTTTTACGCTCCACGGAGAAGGTAGTGGCAAGAATGCAGTGGTCACTCCCTAGGTCTACAGCAAGGTTCATCCACTGGGCCTTCTTGATGTTCCTTACAAATGTAAGGTCCGGGGTGGAATCCCTGCAGCAAGATGTACCAAGCCTTGTTGGTAGGCTGGGGTCTGTGATTAGGGTGAGATCAAGTTCACTGGCACTTTGCCAAAGTCGATTTCCTTTTCCAGTGTTGTACTTGTAACCCCATGTTTGATGAGGGGCGTTGAAATCATCTGCTATGACGAGTGGACATTCCCCGGTGATATTAACAGCTTTCTTTAGAACCCTCTTGAACCCTTGCTTTTGTTCCTTTGGACTGCTGTATATATTAAGAATGAAAATGCTCTGACGGTTGCTGGTACCCGACACGATCTCTACCAAGACGTGTTCCAACCGGCCTGCTTCTATCTTGAGGTCGTGGGTTACGTGCGTTAGTTTGTTGCATACGAAGGTGCAGCTCCCCTCCCTTCAGTATCCCCTTTTACAGGCCGGAATCCAGGCAACGTTGCTTGCGGTGAAAGGGTCTCTTGTGATAATAAAATATGAGGCTTTTCTTGGCTGCTCCTGATATACTGCTGCAGGGTTGCCTTCTTTTTAAGGTAACCTTTGCAGTTCCATTGCCAGATACGAAATGCTTCACGTAGCGCTGCCATCATGCTTATTACATGGGCGGCCAGAGCCTGATGCTGCACCTGTCGACAGGTTTGGTACCACTAGTATTGGTGGCCGAAGGGGTGAGCTTGGTGCATGAGGAAGCCTTGCTGTGTTGTGCAGATATGCTTCGACCTTTGTAATGCGCAATGTCATATGCTCTTCCAGTGCCGCCACGCTTGATTGTAGCCTACCCATCTTCTCGCTAAGATGGGCTACTACTTTGCTGAGCGTGTCAAACACCTCTTTCATATCTGACATGGTCGTTTGGTTGGCTTCCACGTGTTCTGCCAAGACTGCCCTCTTTTTCGTGGTTCTCGAGTCCCCCACGTTTTCAGCCACAGGGACATCAACTGGCTGAGGCATTGGCTGTGAAGATTGCGCGCTGGTTAGCTTAGTGAGAAGAATTTTTATTTCCTTTAAGTCAGCTGATAGCCTCTCATTCTATTTTGTAAGTCTCACGTTTTCTTGCTCTAGCTGTGCAATTCTATCATGCTCTGGCAGCTTACCTGTCATCACCTCTACCCCGCCGTTGCGCACTCGCTCAGCCCAGCTGCCTTTCGAAGTAACTGCAGGCGTCCTCCCCGGGTGTGAAGCCGTAATCTCGAACTTAATGCCAGGCAGCTGGCCATTCGGTTGCCGCCCAGGCTGATCCCGACCCTGATGGTGACCTTGAGAACTCGAGCACCCCCGTGATCGGGAGCGGGCCTTGGGTCTAGAACCTCTTCTGGAATGCGACCTCCCCCTGGAGTGGGGCCGCCTTTCCTGTTCTTGTGTAGTCTGGATGCTCTGGGTCATGTAGGCTGGAATAAGCTGCTTGTCGTTGATGTCTGGACTCGATGTGATTGATGCGTCCCGGGCTTCTGCGGCTGCTCGCGATCTTTCCCAACGTCTGCGTCTGATGACGTATGGCACTAAGAACCTGTTCTTGCACTCCTTGTCTGCCGTGGGATGGTGACCGTCGCACAGCCTGCATCTTGGATTGCACTGGTGCAGGCTATCTGGGTTCTTGATCTCGCAGTCTCTGCAGATTGTTTCAGCTGGGTTCGGACAGACGTCAGACCGATGTCCCAGCTTTCCACAGACGTAACAAATATCTATGTTCTTGCGGTAAAGGGAGCACTGCAAAAGTGAAGGTCCATATCTCACGAATCTGGGAACCTTGTGTCCTTCGAACGCTATGATGATTGTCCCGGTGTCCTTGATTCTCTTGGCCTGCAGCGCGTGCGGGTTGTTCGCGTTCACAATCTTTCGGGTCAAAATGTCCTGAGTATCGCTTACGGGGATCCCGCGAATCACTCCTTTACAAGTATCGTGGGGTGCCGCGGCGTAGGCGCTAACCTCGAAAACTTTGCCTCCAATGTCAATTTGCTTGACGTTAAGGTATCTTGAAGCTCTGTCTTGGTCCGGAGTGCTTGCCCCATAATGTTCTGCTAAAAGTTGGAACAGATGATGTCCTGCATGGCCTCTTCCTCTTTGACGCCAGCCGCCAGTACTATCGCGTCTGCCATGGCTCCAGTGCCAATTCTCGAGATATTTAATCCTCCACGTGGTCGTAGCACAATTTTGCTGAAGTCCTTAGGTAGTGGCGGCATGCGCCCAGCTCGCACGATTGTATGCTTGGTGTCATACTTACTCCGACTGGCTCGAGCGTCTCCCGCAACGCCAGCCTTGGTCGAACCCTTGGCAGCAGGAACGCTAACCGCGGCTTGCTTATTCCTTGAGCGTCTCGTTTCGGCTTCCTTCCAACCCATGTCTTCCGTGCAATCCTCTGGAGAGATGTCCTCTCCACATTCTTGGTATTCCATTCTCAAGGTCAGGTCCTGGAACGCGCAAAGCGTTGAGTCGCGTCGGCGCCGGGCCGGCGCATCGGCGACAATCGCCTCCTTGGTTAGGCTTAAATCCTTCGGTGGCGTTGCCGTGTAAAAATGTCCCAAAAAACGGTTTAAAAGTCCACTCACCAGCACTAAGGTGGTATCTGCTGATTTCTTGAGAACTTAGGCACACGATGGGACTAAAAACTCGGCGACAAATTCGTGAATACCCAGCGCCTCGAAGAACTTGAGCCTATGCGCTTACAACCGGACGGTGACGCGGCCCGTATATCGGCGGATCCAAACCAACGAGACACGATAAGGGTAATTATACGCGAAGAATTAGAATCAATGGGATTCACACTACCTTCAGTGTGTCCCATTCAGTCTTCTTCAACGTCATTGCGGGATGTCATCAGGGAGGAGCTCACGTCTATGACCCACATGGCCCACCTGCAGCCCTTTGTCGCTCGTACTCTCCCATCGTTCCCGCACACCGCTGCCGCACCACCAGGCACCGTCACCTCGACGTCCCCGCCACGAACGTACGCGTCGGTTGCTACCCCGCCCCTCCACCACGTATGAAGTCTTATACTCCGTTTCATACATCAGGTGCAACGCTGTGAAGGCTAGGCAAGTAGTCCGTAAAGAAAACACGAGGTGTTGCTCCGCGCGGTTTCGTAGCCGAGTGGTGTGACGCGTCGCTCCGGAGAGTTCACCGTAGTTTTGAAGTGCAGGGGTTTCATTTTTGCCATTTTTGGTTCCATTTTTGAAGTGCATGAGTTCCAAAGTGCCATTTTTTCGAAGCTGCCACAACAAGTAAAAAAAAAAAACGGCGGCGTGGGTCGCGCGGAGAGCGAAAACCTGATACGAAAGCGACAAATATAAATTACCAACTCGCATATTTGGATTGTTTATCCGACAACACATGCGTTTGTTTTTTAACCTGATGACAAATATGTATGCTTAGAAGTTTCCCGAGAAGCATATATTGATTCTCGTACACCCCAAGCGACGCACTACTTTTTGGTCGCGGCAGTACTCAGCGCAAACAAGAGCGCTAGCTTTGACAGCGTTGCACATGATGTATGAAACGGAGTATAGTTTGAGTGACCTTTATTAGGCCCGAGGAACCGGCAGGCGACAGCTACGATGAATGAACCAAGATGATGATGCTACGCTACAACGATGAGGAAGCATGAGCCATACATGATAATGATGATAATGTACAGGTAAAGAGGATGCGTATACTAAATGCCCACAATATAGACCATACAACGTTTGGCAGTCCTCAGAGCTTCAAAACTATAGCGTGTTTTTGTTATCAGTGGTGAGATGGCGTGACGGGCTCGCGTTGGGCGTGCTCCAAAGGTCGTCGCGTCCACGAAGCGCCCCTTCCACGGAGCGTGGCCTCTCCTTCGCGCGCACTTGTCAGACTCGTAATTTAGGATAGGACGAGGACCACCACTTCGCACGCTGCCACGGCTGCGTTCACAACAGGAGCACGCTGCTGACATACGACGCAGGAAGAATTGTGACAGTTGTTCGCGCTGGTACTGTGTATACTTGAGCGCTTGTTTCGTGCGTCTTTGTGTTTGAAGAGCGCGCTTTAAGTGTAGAGCTGTGGCAGTTGTCAGTCCGCGCTCCTGCTTTCCATACTAGCTTTGTGCGTTCTTTCTGCTTGAGATGTGCGCTGCAAGTTTCTGGCTGCTTGCCGTTCCTAACATGACTTAGTAATATGTTGCTTTTGCTGAAACAATGCACAATAAACACTCAACTACCCCCAAAAAAACACGTTTCACTTTCGTGTTATACCGATTTTCATATAGGTGAATCAGTCAGATCTTCTCCCTTCCCCAATCCCCTAAGTAGAGTTGCAGGCGAGAGCACACTAGCTCATGGCACCCTCTCTGTTATTTAATAAATTCTCGCTCTCTCTCGCTACTCAGAAGTTTATTCTTAAAAACGTAACGTCCAAAAATAAATATTACAGCTCACACCGAACTCTCCGGTCAATATATTCTAGACATTACCAATAATACATGCTCTTGGTTCCTGCTCATCTGGCATTCAGGAAAAACTGCGTACAAACTTGTCTCCTGTTTGCGAGCGGGCTAACTATTACTACAATGCTGACGTTTGTATCAGTGGTTGCTTATTTTCACATGACCGCGAACTATTACTGCATTTACAATTGTGTTAATATCTCTTGGTCACATGGATAGGTCAAGGTGACGTAAAAAAATGTTGGAGTGATGCACTGATTTGTTATGCCACCAAAGAAATGCAACGCTGTAAAATAAGCGGCGGATCACTCTATTGAACTCGCAAAACACCCGATTTAATTTCTTCACCATGGTGTTAGTTCAAAACAAATCTGAAAATATCCGCTGGAAAATTAAAACATTTGAGAAGCTTTTAGAACACAGTCATAACATATCTGTTTCGTAGCACCCTAAGTTCCATCAATCATACTCGTCTATTAGCTTCCCTGCCTCTTATAATAATCACCTAGATCATTTTGTTGTGTAATCACGTAGAATTAGCATTCTGTGTATGCTTGAGTAATACGCACAATGCAAATGTCATTCATCAGCTCTATAACAACATTCAGGGAATAACGTTTTGCTAGCATGTTATATAATTATTGCTGGAACTACAGCGCTCGCTCTTTCCGAGTTCCCCCGGGCTCGGCAGTCATTGTAGTTAAAAACTTTAACACAAATCTAAACGCGTGGAATAAATAGTTTAATTATTTATTTTCTGAGTGTAATTTTGCCTAATAAAACTATTTGAGGCATGCCATGTTCAGAGGCCCTCAAATTCACACGTACTATCATCGTCGAATGAAACGCAAATAGCGGCAAGCCTTCGCGATGGTATAGTATACGCACCGTCCAGTTATCCCAATCGACAGGCTCGCGCATCCTGTTCGACAGCTTTGTCCGTATTTGCGTGCCTGTTTATGGTGATAAGTGGACGGCGCGCACTATGACATCACAAAGGCATGAAATGTTCGAGTTTCTTTTGACGCAGATCATACACGTATGGTTTACGCGGCGGTCTCTGATTCATGTCTTATGCGTGATAACACCATTCATTATGCATAAGGAGTATTTGCCGAAAGCCGTCTTGTGGGTAATGTGTAGTTCGCGCTACATGCCTGAAATTTTAGAATGAGGCCATAAAAATAAATATTCAAAACAGACTTACCCTCACAAGTGGAGAAACAGCATCGATTAAGTCCTGCACAGCAAGCACAATGAGCCATTGATGAGTTTTTTTTTACACTAAACTGGCTGAGAACTCGTATTTTTGCACTAACCTGCTCAAATGTGGCACATGTCAGTGTGCTAGTATTCTCTGATGCGAGACTTATGTATGTTAGCTTAGAGAGTAGTAAGTGATAGGCTTTTATACTGTGGTTTATCCAGTACAAAGTAACTGCCACGAAGGTTATTCGTTGGTATAGTACATTGGTCGGCCTTGAACACCACTTCGTTCAGATCCTTTCATTGTTGGAACGTCTGTGTCTTTCACAATTTGCAGCGAAAAAAAAAAGGGATTCATTGAACGGAAGTGAGAGTGAAGACCAAGCAATGTGCTCCTGTCGCATGACCACTTCGTGGGGCTTACTAACATATTATTTTCGGGAGCCCTCCACTACGGCGTCTCTCATAATCATATAGTGGTTTTGGGACGTTAAACCCCACATATCAATCAATCAATACTAACATAATATGGTTCAACTGCCGAAGTGAAACTGAAAGTAGCTGGAGAAAATCTGTTAAAATAAATTCTACATAATCCTTTCATTGATGCCAGTAGCATTATCCATCAGTGAGATTTCAGAACATCAATTAGCGCGAACACGGTCATGTCAAAAGCACCAGGCCGTCCTTACTGGCATCGCAGAAAACACTAGAATCTCTACATTCTCGATGCAAAAAAAAAAAAAGCTGGCGTGTGCTTTTCGCCACAGAAAGTATACATAGCACTTTCGACAAAATATATGAACTACGCATCCATAATCAATAAGTGTGGTAAAATGTAAGCCCCAGCCCTCCCACAGCCGCTGATTGTTAATACGCTGTATTGTTCAAGATAGCTATTTGTGTAAATGTCCCGTTCCTGTCCTGGACCAATCAGGAAAGCACAGGCATAGGAGCGTTAGTCAGCGCCACCTGCAGTCAAGGCGTTCAATTCCCATGCGTACTCAATAAAGTGTCTGTGGGCATAGCCGCCGTGGTAGCTCCACTGGTAGCACGTCGGACGCGTTATTCGAATATCGCAGGCACGGTCTCTGCCCACAGCAAGTTATCATTTAATTCACTTTGTTCACATTTACATTAAAATGACCTCATATAACAACGCCTATGCTCTCCTTGACATGATTATCAGATATCATTAAACTTGACGTATACAGCTTTACATTGGTATTGTACTGGAGTAGCCATTTCTTGCTAATGACTGTTCTGTAAAAAGTAGAACTTTCTATTTCGAACATTTGTTCTAAATATTAGCCGTCCTAGTCTGCCTTTTGTTCTACGGTTGAGATTTTAGAGATCACAGGGCGTGATAACTGAGGCCTTTTATCTTATTGGCGTAGAATACTAGGGTAGAGAACTGGACATGTGGATTCGAACAAGTAATTGTGCTTTAAAGGGGTACAGACCTGTTCGGCATAGATCACTCCAAACAGGCAAGTGCCACAAGAAGGGCCCATACACAAAGGTATACTTATCTTCGAAATTTAGTCACACTTCAGACATGTTATTCAGGATGCGAAACGGTCACATTCCTTGGCCTTGTGCATAGACTGCGTGAAGGCCACAATAAAAGCAAGTGACGGCAAATGATGCATTGCCACGTAACAAAACCTTTGATTTCTCTTCCGTACTTTGGCTTGGCTTTGCCTTTGCTTTTCTTACAAAGTGTGTGCCCCTGTGACTTGAAAGAGGAAGTCGTATTGAACATTCGTTCAAGTTGGACTTCGTCAGTGTCTCTTCTTTTTTATGTGCTTTTGCCTATTTGAACTGAACGCTGTATTTTCGCATGAGTGCTTGCGGTTGTGCAGATGAAATTTATGCTCGTGATATTTGTACATTGCTGTAAAGCTACAGACATGTTGAAGCAGACTAGCTTGTAGGTGCTTTACAAAGAAGAAATGTCACTTGCCTGGGATGCATCGCAGGATGCCCCGAGCTTCTTAAGGCACTGCAAAATAATAAAAAAAAACGTTGAACATGACTTTCAATAGATAAATCGTCGATGTGCTGCGATGGATGAAAACAGCAGATAAACTAGAAGATTTGCCAAATTAGTTGTGATTCGGGTGAGAGGTGGAGACCGTACAGAAAGCTGGAATCATTGAAATTTTGCATCTGTTGCGACCTGCTGTTGTCTTATGAAGGTCAAGGCCTTGTCATAACATCATGAATCGACAGTAACGCATAACATTAAAGTAGCTAGAGAGAAAAAAAAAATCACATGAGCAGTCTTCAACATAGAGGTGACAGCGTACAGTAGTACAAAGAATAAATATATTCAGTGTTAAGGCTGTGTAGTGTGTAAGAATAAATACACGCAATATCATTCACTGTCAAGCTATTCAGCAAAATCTACAAAAAGCGTCATGAGTTAATATAGTTCTTTTCGGCTGATGTGTTCGCAATGCTTTATGCAGTTGGTCGTATAAATTGAATCATGTCTGTTATTATTCGTGACAACTTTATTATAGCCCAAGCAAATCATAAAAAAATCCCTGAAACTTGAGAGGTAATTTTATATGGCAGCTGAACTTACAATAAACTATCACGTTCGAATTATTCTGGTGTAATCGGGCGCTACAGAGTATACGAAAGTGGTGCATAGGACAAGTAGCAACATTGCGACCGGTAGCGGATTAACGAATACACTTCACTACCATGATATGTCGTTGACAACATCATAGACTATAATAATTTATCATTAAGAGAAAGTGTGTAGCAAATGAAACAGTTCACTATTAATCAAACAGCACGCCGTAACCTCTTTTTTGGCTGTTTTAAAGTTTTCAAGACTTGCTTGCAAGTAGGAGCGGCAAAGCATATAATTAACACCACCAACATATGCTAATTGTTTATTAGTGCTGTAATATAATCAAATAGGGAGAGTGCGAAAAGTGAATTTTATAGAGCTGTAGTAAATACGAAGAAAAGACTAATTGAATATGTTTCGAATAGTAGGCACATAAAAATTGCATTCACTTTGGGAAAGCTCAGCACAGTTCTTCTACGCTTAAGCTGCGTTAAAATTGACTACTGACTAGCAAACGTTACATGTATTGTCCAGGGTGCGAACTAAGTTACAGAGATAAATATAAACGTATCAATTATGTCGGTGATGCGTGGTCTTCTTCAGTTAACACGATTACGTGGAGTTGCGCGAGAGGAGGTGACCGCAAATCACACGCTCAGGTACCTGTTCTTTTGTTTTTTCTAATGTCAGAAGTGTATTAAACAAATATAACTCTTTATCATTAACTATTGATACATGAAGCGCGAAGATAATTGATTTGAATGTAACGTGGCTCTATGCGCATGTCCGTGATCAAAAAATCTTTGATGACTCAAACCATTTTCACATATGCCGTTGTGGTCGGACAAGGCGCAAGTGAAGTGCCGTTCTTTCGAAAACACATTTCTCCTTCTTGTACCACATTGGCACTGAAGTAGAGCTAGTTAGGGCTATAGCAATCGTCGGCTACCACAAAATAATACTAGAAATATGCAATCATTCTCCTTTTTCGCCTTCAACCTTTGTCGACGAACTTCATGCCGCAATCAATATAGTTTTAACATGATTTTCATCACATCCTCTGTTTTTGCTTAGAAATTTTAACTTTCTTAGTAAAATACGCCACATAAATGCACCTTACTTATTACCATCTTCGCCACAGTGGAGTGAATTTATTAACCTAAGTTCAAGGTTTTCTCTCACACAAGCAGTAACGTCCCCGACTAGGGCAACTACTAGCGGTGCTAGCATTCTTGATCTGGTGTTAACAAATCAACCAGACTTTGCTAGCACTCTAACGTATACACCAGTCATCAATGAAAATTCATAACCGGTTTTTATTTGATGGAAACTGTGCTAAAGCAGATAAAAAAAGAAAACGATGTGGCACTTTAATAAAGCAGACTTCGACTTAATTAAAGCAAAACTAGCGAATTTCGTAGACCCATCTTGAGAAGTTTTGAGACCTCTTCAGCGCAGCCTAAGTAAGATATGCTTGCAGTTCAAGTTGATCGACAAACAAATAAGTGTATTCCTCGCCGTATCGTCTTATCTAACGTGCTTGCACCATCGCACAACGCTCACTAGAAACGTTTATCTAACCGAAAGAAGCTTTTATATTGAGCCGCAAGACGTACGTATACCTACTAACGACCCACGCTGGGCTGCCAACATATCTGCATCATTCATCTACATATCTGCGCTGAAATCCGCTAAAGATAACTTTCTCACTAACGTTCTGCCATCCGTGTTACAAGCTAGTGCAAAAAGAAGTTTCGCAAATCATTCGCCCCCAATTCGACTACCATATTTTCCTAATTGACTCATCCGGTGACGAGATTAGTAAAGGCCATTGCGCTGCTGCTCTTAGCGAATGTTTTATCAAAAAAGCTTTTCGTAGATAACCGTAATGATTTACCTAGCGCGATTTTATGAAATTGTTCACCCAGGGCAACAGTGATTATTGAAACTCTTTGAGTTGTACGCCTCATTGAATTACTTAAGAATGATGCGTCTCCTGGTTATAATGGAATCAACACAAAATTTCAAAAAAGTACTGGCACTTGCAGTTCCATTATATGAATGAAAATTTTCCTACAGTCACTGCACACCTCTGCTATTCTTAGTTATTGGAAAATTGTGAAAGTCATTTCTCCCCATAAATTTGGTAATAAACACTGTTCAATTATTTACGTTTCATTTTTAACTACTATTTGTTGTAAGATGTTTGATCCTATAATATTTACAAACAATGTCAATTTCTTAGAATCGAACTCATTATTCGCGCCAGCACAACATCGCTTTCGTAAAACATATTCAGGGGAAACACGGTTAATATCATTCACTCATCACTTACATCAGACTCTTCATAACTCATCCCATGCCGACTGCATTTTTCTAGATTTTTCAAAAGCTTTTGACAAGGTTTGCCATAGACTGCTACTTTACAAACTACACCAAATAAACGTTGACGGTAACCTACCAAAGTTGATTGAATGCTTTTTCCCTAAGAGATCACGATTCGATACTGCAAACTGTCAGAATTCATCTTCTCGCGAAGTTCATTTCGGCGTTCCGCAAGGCGCAGCCTTATAGGCCCCCTGTTGTTTCTCATTTTAATAACAACATCTCATCATTTGTATCATATAAAATTTTATCTCTTTTCTGACAACTATGTTATTTTTCGAGAAAGTACCAACGATAATGAAGTTAACATATTGCAATTTGACCTTAATGCTATATCTAACCGCAATGACAAATGACTAATGCACCTCCACATTAAAGAGTGTAAAATCGTTTTTGTATCGAGAGCTTCCATTTCATCACATATTTACTATCTTAATAACATTCATCTGGATTCCATTAACTGTTATAAATATCTTGGAGTTCACATAAGAACTAGTGCGAACGGGTAACCTCATATTGAATACATTATTAACAACGCTAACCGCATGATTGGCTATTTATGACGCAACTTTTTTAATTCTTCATATGGCTTAAAACCGCTGCTATACAAAATATTATACGCTCTAAACTAGAATATACTACTGCCATGTGGGACCCCACCTATATTAATCTGGTAACTTCCCTTAAACTTGTTGAGAATATATGAGTTCGTTTTGGGTTGTCTATTTATTACAAAAACGCGAGCATTTCAACCATGCATAAAAACTACCCTAGCACTCCTTTCTTCAACATATCGTAAAAAAAATCTCCAGGTTAGCATTATTTCGCAAGACCTACAATAATCCTTTTCTTCGTGACCAACTACATCTTCGCCCTCAGCACATATTCCGCCGCATTGATCACCAACACAAAGTAGGCATGCCTTTGTGCAGCAGAAATACTTCCTTCAATTCATGTTTCTGTTCTTCTGTTCACCCGGAATTCTGTTCCACGAAGAAGTGGAACAGAGTTCTGGGTGACATTATTACTATTAGTGATAACTTCTTCTGTTATGCACTAGCTTGCATTGTATTTATGAGATTTTTTTGTACGATCTAACTATATTTCCTGCTTTTTGTTCAGTTACCCTTTTTTGTAATAACCCACTCCTCGATGTAATGCCATTTGGCCTTGAGGGTAAATTGAATTAATTCAGAAATATGTAAATGCATAAATTGATAAATATGGGCAAAATTTTCAAAAAAGGCCTAGATTGATAACGTTAGTGTTTTCGAATCCTCCCAAGAATTAATCAATTTCTTGTGAAGGAATTAGCTTGTTTTAGAGAAATTCCGGTGCCGACGTAGTTTGTGAGTGCGAAATCACTATATTTTCCGGGATGAAACATTCGAGAAAAATGCCAATTAAATAAATTTTTGTGGTTCAAGTGGAGATCACAGCCGGTGTTCTACCACGCAGCCATACGTCTGCTTGAAAGTACTGTCAAGTTCACTTTTTCTGCTAGGAAATCGAATGAAAACCGCTTTCCTGTTCTACGAACACACGCGTAATGCACGCAGCCTTGACCTTACGTAATCTAATATTGCGGTAATATTGGATAGTAGAAGCGTACTTTGCCATTGGGATTGAAGACATTGATTATCATAGCGACTTCGTAGTTCATTGCCGGGGAAGGCTTAGACAATAGGCACACACGCTACTGCGTGCATTCCCTTTCCTTTATTCCTCTCACCCCTTCCCCCAGTGGAGGGTAGCAAACTGGACGTGCGTCTGGTTGACCTCCCTATCTTTCATTTCTTCTCTTCCTCCTCCTCCCTTGAGACCACGTAGTGGGTGCATAGAATTTTGAAAACAATTCACCCGCATTATTGCTCATGGATCAAAGCATGCTACTCATTAGCAGCCAAAGGAAAAACTTCACTAACACACGTCAATTTCTCCTCTATCGATTACGTTGTACTAATAAACAGTGTAAACTTCTGGAGTAACATCTTACAACAAAATGTGTGCATTGGCTGGTTGCAGTGCGCAGTTGGAAAATCATATCGCTATAGCGTTGAATTATTACGTGAGAAGGCTAAAGAGTCTCCCAGTTTCGAACAAATGTGCACAAGCTTTAACAAAAGAACGTTGCCATCACTTTTATGCGAGGAACACAGATCACAATTATGCAAACTGAAAGAAGATCATTTGTAGCCTTAAAAATACTTTGTGATGTTAGATTGAAGTACAGTGTTGACTACATTACTCCAGGTGGCACATTGCGAAAACATTTATATAAAACTAATCTATAAACATTAAACAATAAAGTTAGGTCGGCACCATCATGAATGTCATGATAGAGATAGTGAATTCCCTCGTTGCTTCTGGAGTTTTAAGCAAAAACGTCTTCATTCAGGAATGTTTGCCGCGGATAATCTGGGGAAGTTTTCGACAGCATGTTGATTGGTAATACGGTGGCCCAAACAAAATGGTAACCCCATTTTTTTTTCATCGTTTAGTTGCCTTGAGGTGTTTTTAATGGTGCTTATCATTGAGGCATTGGCAAAAAAAGAAAAGAAAAATACGGGCCACGTACCTACGTAGTTGTCTATAAAGGACATCGAAATTTTCCGTCTGGAGGCGGTGCATGAGATATGACGCCACCTAGCAGTACTGTGAATAAACCAGTTTTTTTTTTGTTTTTTAGAACGCAGAGCCATCGGGTCGTTTCAGTGAAAGGCCCAGATTTTTGCAAAGAAGCCGAGAAAACACCCGCTTTTTTGGTAATAGCATCGCATTGTCAGTGCAGCGTCATGAGCTTTTGGGTCTTTATAATTTCGTGTCTACGCCTTTTATAAATAGAAACGCACACTGTCCAATCCCTACGTATTGGTGTTGCACCTGAAATATGCGTGTTCTTTGCTTTCTGATTGACAATGTTCGGACGCAAAGTGTAGTATGTACACATTGAAATGCGGTAAATACTAATGCGCATAAGCACAAGTGAAATCTATTTATGCAAAATCAGCAAATCTTACCCCATCGATGCGGTTCACTATTGGAATCGAAATGGCAGTGCAAGAATCTGAATAAGAAAACAGTGTAATAAGAAAACACGTAAAAAACCGATTCATTGCAAAAATAAGTACAACGAAAACATTGAAAAACAATCTTTTCTTTTCACAAAAAAAAGAATAAAATTTAGTAACGCCAGTTTTATGGCTTTTTGTTTGGTAGTTCCCTGAGGTGCATTTATGGCTGAGCCAACAGCGTTTATTAACGTACGAAGAATTTTTAAATGCACCAATCACAAAACCACTGGGAAAAAATCACTTCTTGCTTTATAAGCTAAAGGCGTCTAGTTTTTTTCAATTAAAGCACACAGAAACACTGAACATTCTCTCACCTCCACTCGCAGAGTCTGCAGCACTTACATGCGCTATATGTGAACATGAAGCAAGTAAAACGATAGCGTATAGGCGAAGCATATTGAGCGCGTAATTTTAGCGAATTACAAAGCCGTTACGCCCACGATGCGTTGTGGTGAAGTTGTGCTGACCGAGTACACCCCCACTGAGTACGGCAACCGCTATAAATACAACGAGGTCCAGCAATATTTTACCGATCGGCGCTCCACAATGAAAACATGAAATACTAGGTTGAATCGAACTATGAAGCAGGACGCGTACCACATTTACGAGACGTGTTTTATTTTTTATTTTTGTTAATGTAACCTTGAAAATGTAATTAGGCACTTTGATAGGTGCACACTGACAAACCCCGAGGCACAGATTTCAGTGGAATGACTCGCCGTGAGATTAATAACTGCATGTAGAAAGCCATCAAGCACGCAGGGGTGTAATTCATTTTGTTCTATGGCCTTGGCAAGGAGTCTATTACAAGCCATCGAAGCGATGAAATGTTCCATGTGAAATCAGTACTTCGTTGGCAGTTGTCACAAAACATCTGTTGTAAGCAGGTTCCACCCAATGGTGCTCTGACAGCACCCAGATACTCTCAGTTCATGGCTGCATATCCCTGCAGACTATGACAAGCTATCACAGGTGCATGGGGGGATTGAAAATTCTGTTCGGCACATGGTGAATATAAATGAGGAAGTCAATGTGCCCACGTGTAGTGTTGGCCGGAAACAAGTTTTTTTATATAACTGTGGTACGAAAGCATGCTTGTTTATTGTGCCATAAGTGTTATTTGGCAGGGCGAAATTCAACCAAAATAGTTGAGAACAGACACACTTCTCCACAAGGAGCATATTCTACCGTATATGGCAGGGTTTTATCGCTGAGGTGAAGGGACGTGGCAGCACCAATGTTTTTATGTCTTGTCATCACTGCTGTTGCAAAAATTCACTCCATGCCTCAAAAATAAAAGTTTAGCAACTTGCTTTCACTTTAGGTATTGATATTATGCGAATAAAGTCAGAGAAGAGGTTCATGAGTGGCACTTCAAGCTTGCTAGTTAGACTGACGCCATTACGGACCTTTAGAGTTCTGCGTCATTTTAGTACTCGACAGGGAGGCTGTTACCACAGCTGGGGTAAAGGGTTGCTGCTTGTGTGACGGACCACTAGAATTCATATTAGAGCACAAAAGTCGCTTTCATGAAAATGAAGTATTACCAGCGTTATCTGGAGTGCTTCTACGGGCACGAGCAACCATACGCGTTTGCCTGTTTAGGTGATAAGTATATATAGAAATATTATGGCCTTGTTGCAACGTGCCCAGCCAACGCTGCAAACGAAAATGACGTTAGACACCCGCGATCACCAAAAATAATGCAAGTGAGCACTTAATTTAGTACGTGCAAGAGTGATCTGTACATAGCGGTTGCTGGCTAATTGTCCTTGCAACGCAATTCTGAGCGTTGGCGTGTCACACCTAAAGTAGTACATATAACAAATGACGTACTATTCACGTATCATCCATGGAATGCCACTTAAAGTGTTTGAAATGTCTATTTTCGCTGTGCCGGCTTGGTTTATAGTGTGAACCACATCTGGCGTTTACTCGCATACTATGGGACTTGGTATATGCATGCGTATTTCCGCTGACTTCAGTCAGCACAGTTTTTAGAGGCGAAGCTCCTTATAGCAGCACCCGTTCGTCTCCCGTAGTATGTAACAAGTATAACATTTTGACCTCCAAGGTGGTGCCGGTGAGAGACTTCTTCTGTGCGTTGTTGAACAATAAAAAATAGTGCTCAATGTACAGGCCAATGGCTGCTAATGGGGAACGAGAGACATGAGCATTCGGCTTTTAGTCAACGCGCACGCTGCGATCCCCATTAGCAGCCATTGGCATGTACATTGAGCACTATCGGACAAGAAAGGGATGCTACATTATACTCGCTAGGTGTAACCTCCTTAGCTTTAGAAAGGTTTAGCGAGCGTTGAGCCGCAGTGCCATGAATACAATGAACTTGTATATACCATGAATGAACTCGAGGTGGTTAAAAATGGGAAGTAGATACGAAGCGCAAGCCATAAAAAAGTAAAAGCCGAATTCTCTGCCTCTCATTTCTCATTAGCAGCCATTGGCATGTAAATTGAGCACTATCTGACTGAAAACGTTTGCTACGTCATACTCGCTGGGCGTAAACTCCTGGGTTTTCGAAAGGTTTAGCGAGCGTTCGGCCGCAGTGCCATGAATACAGTGAACTAGTATATACCATGAATTCAAGGTTGTTGAAGGTGGGAAGTAGACCCGAAGCGCAAGCCGTAAGAAAGTGTGCGTGTGCCACCTCTCGTTCAGTCCTTGGTATGTCCGCTGGATGGTGGTGCTTCTATATGGGGAATATATGATGAAAAGATGCGAGATGGTGGTACTTGGGGTGTTGAATAGATGGACGAACGGACACATAAACAGATGCATGGATGGACGCATGAACGGACGCAGGGGCGGCTGCATGGACGAACGCAGGGATCGACGCATGAACAGACGCACGCACGGACGGGCTGATGGACGCATGGACGGTCACACTGACGGACGCATGGACGGACGAAAGCAAGAACGAATGGACGGACGAATTCTTCGCCCCACTCTCCATCATTCACTCCATGGATATGCTGCCATTTTATTTCGAACACGATGGCTGTGGGCTTAGTGCGAAGTATGAAGGCGTATCATACACGTTCTTTTAAGGCATGGAAGTCGGCTCAATTTTATTTCAACGGATATCCCAAAGCACTTCACGTACATTATAATTAGAAATGAGGAACTGTCTCAGCCTGCGTTTGACCACTCCAAGCCTCACCATTCTTGTCTCTCTCATGGGGCAGCTTTGATTCTGGAAAGCAAACATTAGGACATCGTGACAACCGTGGAGGCCTTTGGAAGTAGCTGAAGTGTGTGTAGTTCCAAGCCACCAAGTCGGGGGTATACAATGGCGCAGCTGCTGTGTGCGAATAGAACTATAGGGCTGCGGACCACACACACACACACACACACACACACACACACACACACACACACACACACACACACACACACACACACACACACACACACACACACACACACACACACACACACACACACACACACACACACACACACACACATATATATATATATATATATATATATATATATATATATATATATATATATATATATATATATATATATATATATACACCGAACAGGTTCGATTCCTGCTCACAGTTGGTAATTTTTTCATCCACTTTTCTTTCTTCTTATTTACATTCCATTGGCTTTAATAACTTCCCCTGTACATTCCTTGGCATTACTGTCTGTTATATCTCATTAATATTGTGTTAAAACACGAGAAAACGAGCCCTTAGGTATACACTTCTTTCCCTTATTTCATTGAACGAGGGTCTCGTACTGGCAGACTTGGTGTGTTTAGGTTGTATAAGAGGGACAATGAATCAGCTGCCCGCTCATAATAAGTTCACGTGCTACGTGACGCCAAACATGTGCATAAGAGTGTTTTCACACTCGTCGTTTGGCTTATAGATGGCGCTGACTGTCACTCCTACTTCTAAATTCACAGATAAAACCCAAAAAAGTGGATAGAGGGAGGGCCGCTGTGATAGCTCAGTGGTTAGAGCATCGAACGCGTAATTCGAAGGTCGTAGGTTCGATTCCTGCTCACAGTTGGTAATTTTTTCATCCACTTTTCTTTCTTCTTATTTACATTCCATTGGCTTTAATAACTTCCCCTGTACACTCCTTGGCATTACTGTCTGTTATATCTCATTAATATTGTGTTAAAACACGAGAAAACGAGCCCTTAGGTATACACTTCTTTCCCTTATTTTATATATATATATATATATATATATATATATATATATATATATATATATATATATATATATATATATATATATATATGAGATCTAACAGACATTAATGCCAAGGAATGTACAGGGGAAGTTATTAGAACCAATGGAATGTAAATAAGAAGAAAGAAAAGTGGATGATAAAATAACCAGCCGTGAGCAGGGCTGGTTCCTGCTCACGGCTGGTTATTTTTTCATCCACTTTTCTTTCTTCTTATTTACATTCCATCGGTTCTAATCACTTCCCCTGTACATTCCTTCGCAATACTGTCTGATCTCGTTATTATTGTGTTAAAACACGGAAAAACGAGCCCTTAGGTATACACTACTTTCTCTTATATATATATATATATATATATATATATATATATATATATATATATATATATATATATATATATATATATATATATATATATATATATATATATATATATATATTTCGAAGGAGTGTGGAACTCGCTAGAAATAATAGAATTACGAGCTCCCTATTTCTGCATTGCTTTTTCGATTTGCTTCCTATTATACTTCTGATATGTGACATAATGACGTTATCGGATTCATCTAAAGATAAAAAAAAGCAACGCTCCGTCTGAAGTTTAGGCATTTGAAGAGAGCATAACGAATCTTGATAGGTGCTACCAGGCGCTGCTGATGGTGGAAAGCTCCAAACATATATATCAGGAACAGATACTCATAGGTTGTTTCAATGTCGCCTGCGAGCCGAATCAAACAGGTCAGAAGAGCATCCCGAGCTCCTCAAGCAGTATTACGTGCCTTTCAATGCGTGTTTTAACGAGGAGCACGCAGACGGAGTCGAAACATGCGGGATCACGAAGTCGTTCGCCGAGACGCTGCCGCGACAAAGCTTCCTGTTGTGTGTGACATTTCCTGTCTTGTGCCTGTTGATCCCTACATAATCCACGTTCTGCTGAAGGGGGCAAAAGCCAGAGTTTACACTGTCCAGGGTCTGCTCATTGTTCAACGTCACCCAATAGCCTTTCTTACAGGTATAAAAAAGCATACTTCCGCATACTGACCAGTGCGGAAGGCAATGACGTCCTGCAATTATTCGGGTTGTCCGGCAACCCGCTAATGCGGACGCAACTCCACCCGTTGTTGGGGCCGCATAAGGTGGATCTCATTCGGAACCTCTGACATTGACGTCTTGCTAGCAGCCCCCGTTCGCCACCATCTAGAAGTCTGTGGAGAACAACATCGAAGATTGGCTGTAGGCTTACTGAGAGACGCTTTTACGTCA